TATGCCATGCATATCCTACCTAATAAAAGAGTAATATGCAAATTGACTGTCACTCCAACACACATGATGGCTGCCCCCATGTGGACACAAGATGGCTGGCAGGGGAGGGCAGTTGTGGGAACCAGGCCTTCAGGGGAGGGCAGTTAGGGGCAACCGGGCCGGCAGGGGAGGGCAGTTAGGGGCGACCAGGCCGGCAGGGGAGCAGTTAGGCATTGATCAGGCTGGCAGACAGGCGAGCGGTTGAGAGCCAGCAGTCCCGGATTGTGAGAGGGATCTCCGACTGCCCGTTTAGGCCCGATCCCACTGGGGTCCCAGATTGGAGAGGGTGCAGGCTGGGCTGAGGGACAGCCCCCCACCCCCACCCCCCCCTGCACAAATTTCATGCACTGGGCCTCTAGTGTAGGATATAAATGAGAAAGCAACACACAAACAAACAACACTTGGGGACAACGGTGTGGTGGTTATCAGAGGGGAAGGGGGGGGGGAGGCAGAAGAGGGCCAAGGGCATCAAATACATGATGCGGAAGGAGACAACTGTGGTGAGCACACAGTGCAATATACAGATGATGTAGTCATAGAACTGCACACTTAAAGCTTACATGATCTCATTAACCAATTCACCCCAATAAATTTAGTAAAATGAAAAAATACATGCATAAAAATTAAAATAATAAAGAGTAAGGGGCCCCTGAAATTATCTAGTTTCCTCTCATATTTTACAACTAGTAAAGTAAGATCCAAAGAATTCCCCCTGCCCAAAGGCACCCAGCTAATTAGTGGCAAAGCTAAAATCAGAACCAAGATCTTCCAACTGCCACCGACCGAAAGTTCCCTCCCCAGACTAAGTACTGGCCCAACCTGCAAGAGAAGCACTTGCTCAGGTGAAAGCAGAAAACCGGCATCAAACAGGGCCCTCAGTGCAGTGGTCTACAGAGTGTTTTGGAAAAACTGTGCCAACACCTCAAAAATCATGTATTTTTGCATGAAAATACAGACAGTTTCTTTCAAAAAAAGATCAGACAACTAGCATGCATTCGCACTCAGCAGTAATATACTGGGGCTAAGTAACTACCTTATGTACACACCCACTCAGGGTACGTAGCATCATCTTATTCCCAGCCTGCTTCTCATTCACTTTAGCTGCAAGGATACTGTAGGGGTTTAATAATAGATTCCTGCACTAGAGCGATTTAATCATAAGTTCTAAACAGTTCTTATGGTAGTAGATTTTGGCTAGGATTTAGTGGCTGGGTTTAACTAAGCACAAAGTGGATATACAGGAAAGATGGGAGAAAGAGAAACAAATTTAAAAAGCCTCCTATGCCCTAGCTGATTTGGCTCAGTGGATAGAGTGTCAGCCTACGGACTGAAGAGTCCCGGGTTTGATTCCAGTCAAGGGCACGTGCTGAGGTTGTAGGCTCAATCCCCAATTGGGGACATGCAGGAGGCAGCAATCAATGATTCTCTCTCATCATTGATGTTTTTATCTCTCTCTCCCTCTCCCTTCTTTTCTGAAACCAATAAAAATAAAAATAATTTTTTAAAATAAAAAGCCACCTACCATTCAGTGGTAATTCCTTTAGAGCATAATCAGAACTTGGCTCTCATGAAGAGCTGTCCTGACCTCTCCGCTTTAAGGAAAAGGCAAGAATGCATGTTCATACTTCCTAAATTAGGAATCTCAATGGTTTAAAACCCTGTATGTTATAGCTACGGACCACTAGTGTGATGCCATTTTTAAGTATTTTTAAGACTTAGTACTACTATATTGCAATAGAACCATAGTAACAGTAGGCACAAAAGAGAAAAGACTGGGAGAAAAAAGTCTAAATTAGAAACAAACCTAATTTTTCCCATAAATATGGCATTTCCGTTCCTTGCAAACAGATAGTGTAATTAAAATCTTTAGGGGACACTCCAGTAAGCGATGAGCACCCCAGTGCTCAGGTCTTAGTGTCTGATAAAGGAGCCAGGACTCCGTGGAGAAGGAACTGATTCCAGGATGGGGGCAGCAAATACACAAGCAGAGCCTGGAGCATCTTGCAATGTAAGACAGCTGGGAGATTCCTTTACAAAGTGAATAGGGGCCTTGCCCAGAAACAGGAGTCAGCCGAAAGAGCTCCAGTGACCAAAGCTGGACATGAGCAGCAAACTCTGGTCTTGGAGTGCAACCAAAATATACAGTTAGCCCAGCCGGTGGGGCTCCGTGGTTGAGCGTCAACCTATGAACCAGAAGATCACAGTTCGATTCCCAGTCAGGGCACAGGCCTGGGTGGCGGGCTCCATCCCCAGTGTGGGGCGTGCAGGAGGCAGCTGATGGATGATTCTCTCTCATCATGGGTGTTTCTTTCTATCCCTCTCCCTTCCTCTCTAAAAATCAATAAAAACATTCACATACACACACACACAATTAACACTGATGAGTCCATGCTGATATAATTAAATAAATCCATCTACCATGAAGAAAGACTCCGGAGGAATATGGATGCCGCCCTCCGGGAGGTGGAGCATCAACGCTGACTCCGTAAGTGTGAGCAGCACACAGTGACCTTCCGAAGAGCACGACGTGGGAAGGAAGGAAGAAGAGAAACCTGACAAACACTACCTAAGCCAGGTAATCAAGACTGGCATGTAATCGAGGTCATGTTGACATATGTACCCTTGACATGATATGATGAAATGGCATTTTACCTCTGTAATCTTCCTCTCAAAAACCAGAACCACAGCCCTGGCGGGTGTGGCTAAGTTGGCTGGGCAGTGTCCGGTGCACTGAAAGGCGGCCAGTTCGATTCCCAATCAGTTGCAGGCTGGATCCTTGGTAGGGGGCATGTAGGAAGCAGCCAATCAATGTTTCTCTCTCATCACTCTCTCCCTCTCTCTTTTTCTCTGAAATCAATAAAAAATATATTTTTTAAAAAAGATCTTGTGTATTAAATATATATACATATATACCAGAGGCCCAGTGCACAAATTTGTGTAGGGGGCGAAGGGGGTCCAACTGTCTCTCGCAATCTGGGACCGCTGGCTCCCAACTGCTTGCCTGCCTGATTGCCCCTAACTGCTCCCCTGCCTGCCTCATAGTCCCTAACTCTGGGATGGGCAAACGTTTTGACTGGAGGGCCACAATGGGTTCTTAAACTGGACCGGAGGGCCGGAACAAAAGCATGGATGGAGTGTTTGTGTGAACTAATATAAATTCAAAGTAAACATCATTACATAAAAGGGTACGGTCTTTTTTTTTTTTTTAGTTTTATTCATTTCAAACGGGCCGGATCCGGCCCGTGGGCCGCAGTTTGCCCACGGCTGCCCTAAGTGCTCCCCTGCTGGCCTGATCGCCCCTAACCGTCTCTGCCTTGGCCCGCACCCGGGATCCAGGATTCCCTCCTCCAGCAGGATGCAGGCACAAGGGACCAGGGATTCCCTCCCTCTGGCCGGCCTCAGGCACCCGGACCTAGGCCAACTTTGCCAGGGGCCAGCTGTAGCCACAGGCTCCCAGGACAGGCAGCTTCGCCCAGGCCCAGCTTTGTCAGGAAAGACGTCCAGATGGTTGTCCGGAAGACATCTGGCCTAATTAGCGTATTACCCTTTTGTTAGTGTTGATATCCCCAGTCTAAACATAAGAAAAAGATCAGCTAAATCCCACTTGAAGGACAGTCTATAAAATGTCAGAGCAGTGCTCCTCAAAGCTGCCAAAGTCATCAAAAATCAATTCTGGCCCTGGCCAGTGTGGCTCAGTTGGTTGGAGTATCGTCCCATAAACCAGAAGATGGCGGGTTCCATTCCTGGTTAGGGCACATACCTGGGTTGCGAGTTCAATCCCTGGTCTGGATGCATGCAGGAGGCAGCGGATCAATGTCTCTCTCTCTCACTCCTTCCCTCTCTCCCTCCAAAAAAAAAAATCCCTAAGAATAATAATAATGGTAATAATAATAATTCAAATCTGACCCTGACCGGGTAGCTCAGTTGGTAAGAGCATCATCCCAATAAGCCAAGGTTGTGGGTTTGATCCCTGGTCAGGGCACATACAAGAGTCAACCAATGAGTGAATCAACCAGTGAATGCATAAATAAGTGGAACAAAAAATTGATGCTATCTCTCTCTTTCTCTCTCTCTCTCCCCACCTCCCTTCCACGCTTGCCAAAAAAAAAAAAAAAAAAAAAAATCCTCTGCTGAGGATTAAAAAAAAAGTGTCTTCCACCTCTCTAATCACGGAAAACTAACTGGCTCTCCGCTAAAGCTTCAAGTCTGAGGTCCAACCACTGGTGCTCTGGAAAACCAACTGAACTTTGTTGATTCACAGACCAACTCTAACAAGGACTTATTCATTTTTGGAGAAACAAAACAACTTAGCAATGTGTATCTAATATTTCCAACTGAATCACAAGACTTCAAAAAGGGCATCTGAATCCAATCTCCTTACTTTATAAGTGAGAGGAGGGCCAAGGGCATTGACAAAGATACCTGTTCAAGGTCATCCTTGAGTCTCAACTGGAACCAGGATTTCTTCAGTCTGACATTCCAAAGCAGGAAGCAAGGGAAAGATAAGGGTATTATAATTCTGACCATTTTCTATCCTAGGTTAGAATGCTTTCGTTTTCTCAGGGGTCAACAAGGTAAGTCCAGCTGTAGCCGCCTATCAGAAATAGCACCAAATCGCCGAAACCGGTTTGGCTCAGTGGATAGAGCGTCGGCCTGCGGACTCAAGGGTCCCAGGTTCGATTCCGGTCAGGGGCATGTACCTGGGTTGCGGGCACATCCCCAGGAGGCGGCTGATCGATGTTTCTCTCTCATCGATGTTTCTAACTCTCTATCTCTCTCCCTTCCTCTCTGTAAAAAATCAATAAAATATATTAAAAAAAAAATAGCACCAAATAGCTATCCTTTTTCTAAATGTCATGCCTATGTGATACGGATTTTTGTCTCCTACTTAACTCTTAATTCTTGCATTGTGGCACTAGTCAATATCCCTGATGGGAAGTTGAAGCCTTGGTTAAAGTTCCGAAGTGTAGGCAGACGCGCCAGACGTTGTAGGGGCTGTGTCGCTGTTGAGGAGACGCGAAGGGTTTGGACTTGCGGTATTTTTGCACTCGCTAACAGGTCAAAATGCAAATCTTCGTGAAGACCCTGACCGGCAAGACCATCTCCTTGGAGGTGGAGCCCAGTGACACCATTGAGAATGTTAAGGCCAAGATCCAGGATAAGGAAGGCATCCCCACTGACCAGCAGAGGCTCATCTTTGCAGGAAAGCAGCTGGAAGATGGCCGCACTCTTTCTGACTACAACATCCAGGAAGAGTCCACCCTGCACCTGGTCCTGCGTCTGAGGGGTGGCTGTTAATTCTTCAGTTTTGCATTCATAGTGCCAGTGATGGCACTACTCTGCATTCTAGCCATTTGCCCCAATTTAAGTGTAGAAATTACCAGTTCAGTAATAACTGAATCTGATCAAAATGTTAATAAAAGTTTTGTTGCATGGTAAAAAAAAAAAAAAGTTCCTAAGTATACAATTTAATTTGGTACAGGAGTGAGTATATCCGTTTTTCTCCCAGTTGGCCTTAGTACTTTTTTTAATTGAAGTAAAATGTACAGAACAACCAACAATTTTAAAGTGTACAATTCCACGGCATCCACCTCTCTCTAGTTTCAAAATGTCTTTTTCATTTTTAATTAGAGAGGCACTAAGCCCAATGTAGAAGAGTCACTCTGTTTTCAATTAATTCATCGCATCTCAATGAAGGCCTGAGCCCAGGTTCCAGCCCTAAGTGTATCACCCTAATCTCTTCCTACACGTGGCCAGCCAAGCCCCTTTCACCTTCGCCATACCAGTGGTGTTCTATCCCACAGAAAACCCACACTCCTGCCCTGCACAGCCAGAGTCGGGCACTGTGTGGTGAGCCTACCCAGCAGGCTTTTGTTCCAGCAAACACTGTGACATTACAAACTACTTAGGAGGGAATGATCTCATCCGACTGAGCCAGCAGCAAACTTTGTCAAAAAGCTTTTGTTACAAGCTGTGATAACCTAGGAAACAAGATCTATTTTTACTATCTGGGCAACAAAAAGAAAAAAAGAAATCATAGGGGAAAAACAGCTCATATAGTGACCATTTCTAAAAATCACTTATTCTACAGAATTTTCCCCTTTCTTTGGTATCTCACTACAAGTGAACAAAAAAATCTTTCAGAATTATTTAATGTCAGTAAAAAATAACTGTAACTATTGTTTTATTGTAAACTTTAAGCTTCCTATTCTATCCCAATATTGAACCTACAGTGGGTGTGACTTGTAGGAAAAAACAAGGATTCCTCTCCAGCATCACTTCAACACTGACCGAGCACTTATATTTTAGATCAGCCATGGGCAAACTACGGCCCGCGGGCCGGATGCGGCCGTTTGAAATGAATAAAACTAAAAAAAAAAAAAAAAAAAAAAAAAGACCGTACCCTTTTATGTAATGATGTTTACTTTGAATTTATATTAGTTCACACAAACACTCCATCCATGCTTTTGTTCCGGCCCTCCGGTCCAGTTTAAGAACCCATTGTGGCCCTCGAGTCAAAAAGTTTGCCCACCCCTGTTTTAGATACTCGGCACTTTATACATATTAATTCGATTAATATGTTAAACAAGTCCTAACCAGTTTGGCTCAGTGGATAGAGTGTCGGTCTGTGGACTGAAAGGTCCCAGGTTCGATTCTAGTCAAGGGCATGTATGTACCTTGGTTGCGGGCACATCCCCAGTAGGAGATGTGCAGGAGGCAGCTGATCGATGTTTCTCTCTCATCGATGTTTCTAACTCTGTATCTCCCTCCCTTCCCCTCTGTAAAAAATCAATAAAATATATAAGTAAAAAAATATGTTGAACAATTCTAGCATGTAGGTATATTATTTCCGTTTAAAATTAGGACACTAAGGCACTTAGTGGTTAAATAACTTGCAATTATTTTTACAGCAATAATTGCTGTATTGAAGCAGAGCTAAAATATCATCAAATACATCGAAAAGTCAGAAGCAATATAAACATTCTCTCCCACCACCTCCAACTACAATCCTTTAGCCCAACTCCCAGCCCCCAAACATAAAAAGACATCAACAGCTGAGAGGGAAAGGAGTGGGACGAGGAAAGGAGCCGGCTGCACACTGACAAATGCAAGGACTTATCTCGCTCTATGGCATTAGATGTTCCAGATGGGCAAGGGCTACCACACAAAGAGATATATGGAAAAGGGAGTTTTCAGAAAAGCAAAATCTCAGTATTATTTCACTATTTTCCGAGGATCTGGGAAGCATAAGCATAATCTAGTCACTTAAAAAGTACTGGTATTCTCTGGCCCAGCTGGTGTGGCTCAGTGGTTGAGTGTCAACCATGAACCAAGGGGTCACTGGTTCGATACCCTGTCAGGGCACATGCCTGGGATTATGGCGCAATCTGCAGGTGGCAGCCGATTGATGATGTTTCTCTCTCATCAATGTTTCTCTCTCTCTATACCTCTCTCTCTAAAAATCAATTTTTTAAAAAATGTATTTTTTAAACAGTATTTATTCTCTGCTGGGGGAAGCGATATTTTGTCTGGCTCTCCTAGAGTTTAGGTGAAATAGCCCCAAACTGTATTCCTTTGTTCTAAATCCATTCTCACCCATTATCCTTCCCATTTAGAATAAGCCAGGATGGGTTGGGGTGGGAGGAAGGAATGCAACAGGAAAAGGTGGCACTCTAGTCACTCAAAGTCTGTCTCATTTGAAAAGTCCCCACCTAAAGTTGAAGATTATAACCTAGACCTTAAGGCAGGTAACCAGTTAGCTCCCCTACCAAGACCACTAGTGACCTCACCCCCAAAAGCAATCTCTTTCAATGTCTAGTGAAGAAATAAAGCTGCCATCCATCAGCATTCATCGCCTGTTAGCTTTCCACGCCTACTGTTTTCATGTGACTCATCATATATGTCTAGGTATTCGGAGCCCATGAACGCGCCTTCTCTCTGCTGGTCTCCAGCAGGCACGCTGCCAGGTACGGAGCCAGGCCATCCGCTCTGCAGAGGGCGTGCACCCCACCCCCGCTCAGGAGGGGTCAGTGAGCCCTCTCTGCTCTAACACCCAGGAAACACACAGGAGATCTGGAGCAATGCTGAGAGGGAATCGCCTAGATGTGCGTGTGCCAGAAGGCCTGTCAGAACCCACTGGCTGCAGGTGCCTGGTGTCAACTTTACACCAAGGATCCACAGCAAAGGTAAGGAACAAAGCTAACGATCGCTTCTGGCTTCCGGACGAGCTCTCTGACCTTCCGAAGGTGACTGCTGTCGTCAAGTCGGAGAAAGCAGAAAGATGGCTACAAGGACCACAGGGAGATAAAGACTCCAGTTAGGGTCCTGGCCTGGAGCCTAAACAGCTTCTGAAGACAGAAGTGGAGTTTGGCTTTCTGACACGCATCAAGCTTTCCCCAGATCTCAGCTGACCTCCCCACCCTGTGTCCTCATTCAGTGAGGACAGTGACACAATCACAAAATATAATCTGACAAGGAAACAAGTAAACGCTAGCACACAACGCTCTAGGAAAGGAAGGAGTGTCCCAGGGAGAGGAAAGCTGTTACAAAAGCCCCAGCGCCTCCCTTCATCTCCGGACCACTGCAGTGACCCCCATGCCCTCAGGACTCCATCAGAAAGAGTGGAACATGAATGGGGGGGGCGGGTTGTAGGGATTGAGAAAAAGAACCTCAAAAAAGTGAATGAGTGGATAAGTACATCAATACCCTGAATCAGAAATAATCTGTTGTCGTCCTCTTCAATCCAAAACTGATTTTCTCGCTGAATAACTAAAATGCCATTTTTCTATTCCACCTTTTCAAGGCCCCTCCGCGACCTCCATCTCTATGAAAGCTCACGACGTGCAGAGCGTCTAGCACACGACCGACAAGCTACTATCACGAGCCTATTCCCCTCATCGACCGCCAGCTCAAGAGCAGGGCGCCAGGGTCGTCGGGGGCCCTCCAGCACCCAGCCCAGTGCCAGGGACGTGGCAGACACGAAACCATGTAAAGTACAGTGTGCTGCACATTTCTACTTGAGGGCTTCAACTTTTCCCTTTTGATCACAACCCACGGGGGAAATACTCATCTTATTCACACAAATTTACTTACACACACATTTACACATAAGTGAAATACAAGTTTGTATGTAAAAATGTATTGCCATCTTCTATTCCTGCTTTTTTTTCCCCTTAAGGATTGCCTGTGACCTACAATTTGAAATTTTCAATTCTAGAAAAAACCATCTCCTAAGAGAAACAGGTACAAAATTAAAAGCTGTTTTCAAACTTTAGTGTGAAAGTCCCCTAGGAAGGTGGTTTAAAATACATTGCAGCCCTGGCAGGCGGTTCAGTTGGTTGGAGTCGACCCATATACCAAAAAGGTTGTGGGTTCTATTACCAGTCAGGGAAGCAATGATCCATGTTTCTCTCTCACATGGATGTCTCTCTGTCCCTCTCTTTCTCGCTCCCCCCCTCCCTCCCTCTCTCTCTCTCAAATCAATAAAAATATATCCTTGGGTGAGGAATGAAATACATTACAAGGTTCTTTTCCCAGAATTTGGTTTGACAAATCCGGGTATAGGCCCAGGAATCTGCATTTCAAAGTAGTCCAACTGGTTCTGATCTAGATGATAAAACTATACTTACCATGAAGATACCTACGGCAGATGACTGAAGATTTAGTCTCAACAGTCAGGTTTCAACCCTTCTTCTAGGAAACTACAGGCTAACCAAGAATCTGCAGAGGTTCCTGCCTTGCTCACAGGCTGGCTTTTCACCTGAAAGTCGGCTCCACAATCCTGTTACAGGCTTCCTCTAATGCAATTTGGTAAACCTTGACAATCTAACTGTTCCTCTTAACTGTGGCTCTTCCGGCTCTTCCCACCAACAAAACAAAAGAATGCTATGAATGAAAGGCATTTTTGTTGCAAGTCCTTTGCTTTATAACTGAAAGGGCTTTTGAAAACCAGTCACACTGACCATACAAGTGGCATATGCAGTCACCAGTTTGGAACTCCTAAGCACAAGTGGCCTAAAAGTGATCGCTAATAGCGCAAAGTCTGACCACAAACTGCTTGAAAGCTGATGCTGAAATCAAGTTTCTGTAAGAGCACCCTACGATACAAGCCTCCATTTCTTGTAATTACAAGCCAGTAAGAAAATCCTGGATTCTTGAAAGTTTTCAATTCAACAAAGTCAATATTAAAAGAGCACAAAACACCTGCAAATTAACAATCTAAAAATGAAATTAAGGCCCGGTCCCCGGTTTGATTCCTCAGTTTACATGCCAAGCTTGTGGGCGCGATCCCCAGTGGGGGCTGTGCAAGAGGCGCCTATCGATGATGTTCCTCTCTCTCTATCCTTCTCCCTTCCTC